ATGATAAACTACCCAAAAGAGCAAATCAAGAATGAGATCTGCAAAAATTATAAATCAGAGTATACTCACATATCTTTCTCCATGTAAATGCTATCCAGAAATTGCAGAATGTGGAGTGCATGTGGGATCAGAAGCTGAGTTTTGGTTGAGTTCTTGATGCCCTGAAATATCCCATAACATGCCTCCAAAATTCCATTCCTTACAAGATTTGTATAGTCTAGCTTCTCATCATCAGCTTCTGATGTGTGGGCAGACAACTCTGCTGCACTCTGGAGCATAGGCATGGCAAACATCAAGTACTGATCAAATTTTCTCGGACTGCCAGTGCTATATCACCAGAGCACGAAAAGATCGGGGTCTTTACAGATCTATGCAACTGATTGCTTGATTAGTCTTTAAAAAGCTGTGTCATTATCCTATCACAGTAAGGCAGAATCTTATCTTCTAATGCCCTACAAATATCCCCCACAACACCAACAGTAACAGCACAAACTTGATACTCCTCAAAATTCTGAAGACCCATCTCCAAATACTTGAAGAAAGCTGGCATGTAATTCACAAAGTTGGGGCCCGTTGTGTAGGCAAGTGCACCAATAGCAAGCATTGCTTCCTCGTGGATAGTGACACTTCTACAATCAAAAACCCCGAGAAAAAGATTCATAATTTGATCTGCATACTGCATGAAGGCATACTTGGTGGGTTCTGAAGCCCTTAATTTCTGAATAAGGACTTGTAAGCAACCACAAAGAAGGCATTGTATTTCACTCTGCTTCTCTCTCTCGTCAGATGAAAGTTTCGGAGCCTCAAGAGTCTTGTGAAGCTCTGTCATGATGATTTGAACAAGTTCCAACACTAAGCGAGCTGATTCATCGGACGAACACCTCACCACTTCATTCAGTGTTTCGTATGCAGCTGTCCGAAGTTGAGATTCCACAGCATCTTCTCTATGAGTGACGTTGAGAAGGGACTCAACAATTTCTTGGAAATAAGATGTTAAGGGAGACGACGGTCCCACATCATCGTAACCTTGGGCTAGAAAATAGAGAGCACCACAAGCTTTTTCAGCAACATTTGGAGCATCTTTCATGCTTTGGAGGAGAACCGTAATAATCTGTTGGCAGTTTTCCAAGGTAATAATGAGGGTCTCTACAGCTGAACCATGAAGGAATTCAAATACTCTGCCCAGGTTCCACGCTGTTGTGTCCTTAACATGGCTATTTGGGTCTTTTGTCAAAGCAGCAAGCATGAAACTCAGAGCAACATTGACTTTAGGAATTAATCTGTCAGATGAAGGACCTTCCAATATCGAACCAAAATCATAAGTGGCAGCCTCTCTCTGCCTCCAATCAGGTTTTGTAAGGTTCTCTTCAATAAATGGCATAACAAGAAGCACAATATCATCTCCCACTGTCCCGGCAACCAAACCAAGGCAAGTGCCACCAGCCATTGCAAGATTCCAAGCACCTTTGGATGCAATATTATAGAGATAAATTATTTATTTAGTTTCCTATTTTGGTTTGTATTTTAGAAAACATGATTACAGTGTGATTTCATTAACTTTTATAGCATTTCTTTACTTAGTTATGATTTTTGAAACCCTATATAAAGGGGATTATGGAGATGTAATAGAACAACTTGATTTTATGAAATAAATTGATTTCTCCCCCTAATTTCTATCTTTTTCCCCTCCTTTCTCTTCTTCCTTTTCCTTTCCCCTTCTTCTACAATTCTCTTAGTACATCCAGTGTCACCGTCATCATGATCCTGATCGTCTTCTTGCTTAAGAAGCATCTCCAACAGCATGGGGACAAGAGCAGGAACAGCCTGCTTGATAGAGTAATAGCATGGAACATCTGAATCTGCAGCAAAACTGTCTCCATATTCCTCCAAGATATCAATCTCCTCATCACAGATTGAGCTTCAAAATTCAATGGCCTGAAGAGCAACTGCCTCCTCATCTTCTCTGACAGCCTTGGATGTTATGTTGAAAATGTCTAGGATATATGGTGCTAACTTATCATAATAAATTGACCCAATGGAGACCAAACACTCTAAAGCTGCCTGCCGAGTCTTCCCATATGGAGAGAGTGTGGCCTCGCAAATGACTCTCATAATGTAATCACGCTCCATATCATTGGAAAAGTTTGCCTTAGCAAAGCTCAAAGCATTATACAGAGCTCGGGTGGCAGCAAGCCTAACCTCAGTGTTACCATCATTCACATCATACATGGAACCATCTTGATCAACAACTTCTGCCACGACATCTTTACATTTATACCCCAGAGTTTCTAGAGTAGCTTGCTTTACATGAGGTGGGACCTGGTGAATATTTGACAACAGGGAACCTATCAGTTCAGGCCACTGTTTCTGTGGGAGCTCAATGCCAGCGACTTTTGCAATGACTTGTGAAGCAGTTGACCTAGCATCAGAAACAGGAGATGCAAGGGTCTGTAACAAGCAAGCCTTGATCTGGCTCTTCAAGGCCACGTCTAATGATAACCATCTTTGCACAAGCTCATACCTTCTATGTCGCTCCTTTGCATCCAAAGTATTTTTAAGAATCAAACCAGCTAGTTTATGACTTTCAACTGGCTTCTCTTCACTGGAAAGCTCTCCCGAAATAGATAGCAGGAAATTGGGAAGATTTTGCTCCTGAATCTGTTTCAAAGCTTCCTCAGCACGATTCCGCACAGTTGAATCAACCGATTGTGCACTTAGGAGAATCTGGGTTACTACCATGGCCATATTTGTCTTGCTACTGTCACATGTATGGCTGAAATTAGCATAAGAAAGAGGCATCAAAAGCAAAAATCAGGGAAGAATTGAGATTGACATATCCCCCAAAACACTCACCCCTTCTGTACAGCCTCTACTAAACAAAACAAAGCATAAAACATATTTCTGCCTACAAAGGAATAGCCAAAAAAAGAGTAAACTTCAACCCGCATTTAGAAGGATGAAAATACACACGGCCAAATTCATTCCCCTCATCAGAAGACAAACTTTGACAATTCAATTTCCAATGATCATTGACTGACCGGATTAAAATTACATTGAGTTTCAACTTCGAATCGTCAAAATCAACGGTGAATCGAAAAAGATCTGAAGGTCAGTCAATCGAAATGTAAAGTCAATTTACTAATCTTCCAGACCACGCTAAATATCTAACTGTTGATTGAAATATAACCAAATGTGAGACCAATAAAGCATTAAAAGTGACGTTTTACTCAGAACAACATGCATAAAATCAGTCAACGGTTGTGAGTCATTCTACGTAAATTTTCGATCCACTGGAAACGATATTTCACATGCTAGACAGTTCGAATTTTCAAATAACTACTCAAGGCTATCCGATCCAACAATTAATTAAATAATTATCATTTTCTGTTCTTAATTTCACATTAAAAATCCAGCCCAGATAACATTGATAATTATCAAATCAAAAACTTCTAGTTTAAATGACTTACGTAGAAATCAATCGATTAAACACACATATCGACAGGAAATCCAGTCCAGATTAAAAAAAAAAAAATTCTTTAATTAATTAAAAATAGGAGAAAATAATTTACTCCGAACCTGAGAACAAAGCCGATGAGGAGCTTTGCCTCTGATAAACTAAAAGAGAGAGAGAGAGAGAGAGAGAGCGCGCGCACTAAAAGAGAGAGGCGTCAAGCTGAATTATTGTGTGTGTTGTGCTGACCAGGTACCTTCATTATCCAAAAAAAGGTTAAACCTCAATGTTGACTGTTTTCACCGTCCTATATTTGAGAGGGGTAAATCGCGAAACGTGTCTCAACAGGTCAGGAAATAAGAATTGTATGTATACTACACTTACAAGGAGTCTAATTTCGTGTTTCACAAATCGAACACCTATACTGCGGCTGCTAGTAAAACGTGAGATAACCTCACTCCTGTCCTTTGCACCACTAGATTATGCCCCAAGGGCCAAGTACCTCCATCCGATGTGGGCCGGGTGGCATGTGCAATTTAATTTGTGGGCCACCTCAAAACTGCCGATTTTCCCCATTTTCTTTCGTGGAAATTAGATTCAACCAAGTTTTTTAAATGGGAAAAATTCATAATTCATAATTAAGTGGTTAAGTATTATCTATTTCAAAATTAAGAACAAAAATTTTAAATTTCAAAAATTAGATATTTATTAAATTTTATTTATGATTAAATTTAATTAATTAATTATATATTTTATTAATTAAATATATTAAAGTCACAGATCTATACGATTTGATCACAAATCAACGATTTAATTAGTCACATATTATTTTTCGATTACAAATAAAAAAAAAATTATGTCACAAATTACTTTATGGTCACAAATCAAACATTTTTCGAACACAATCGATCACAAATAAAAAATTTAAGGTACGTTTCAATTACGTTTCCATTTTCTATTTTCAGTTTTGAATTCATTTTCTATTTTTTGTTTTGTTTTGAGAGCTTATTTTAAGATTGTAAAAAAAAAGTCTAATTTGTCATTTTGAAAAATTGTTTCTTAAAACAAAAACTAGAAAACGTGTTTGGTTTATAAATTTTAAAAATTGTTTTATGATATTTTCTTTCAATTAATTTGATTATTTAGGGCCCCATTTGATAGCCATTTTTTAAAAATGTATTTTTCTCTCTCTTCTTTTCAACCACACATTTTTTATTAAAATAATATTACACGTAAATCAAAAACTTTTCCTTATTTCTCAACCACACATTTCACATTAATTTATTATTCTAAAATACATTTTTACATAAAAATGTCTATCAAACACCCCCTAGTGAAACATATCAATTTTATACTAATATATATGATCAAAAAATATAAATTTTATAGTTGATATAAAAATAAATTTTTGTATATCTCCAACAATTGCATTGAAATCATTCGTACTTAATAAATCATTATCACTCATATCATCTATGTACTTACAATAATCATTTATAAAAATACTCCAACAAAAGTAAATACCAAAATCCAATACATTGATTAAAATAAAACTAGTAATAAATTTTGAGAATTACAAAGTTCATAATCAATATATAACAAGAACACAATCCTACATTATAAGTTCAAAATATTCAATTCAACCAATTAGGCAAATCAAAGAAGTTCCAAAATAGGTCCTCTCCTAATTTCTGACATCATTACAAATGCCATCCTAAAATCTGAATCCTTAAAAGCCTTTTTTCCTTTCATATAAACGTCATTAGACACTACTATGTTGTTTAAGATGTTCAAACACGCCATATTTGAATAAGGATTTGGACTAATGACTTCATTAGTGCCCTCATGATTAGATGATTTTTCTTGGATGTGTGCAATCTTTTCTTTAAGATATAGAATCCTAAGTTTTGTTTCCTCATTCCTCATACTAACAGTAAATGACCATAGCGCCATCCATTCCTCAAGTTTTTCACTTTTACTAATTTTGAGTTCCTTACGTCGACGTTTGTTAGGTGTAGTATCATCACGTTGACGAATATTTGAAACGTCATCATCATTTTCCACACGTACATGCACTCGCCTTCTCAAAAACTCATCTTCTAGCCATCTTTCTTCCTCTGACGTTGGAGGAAGTTGAGTAGAAACGTTGCCTAGACCTTCAGTAGTTGTAGAGCCGCTAAAAATCTCTCCAAGCAATTCGTAATGCTTACATCCTTCCCTCCTAAATGTCGTATAGTTTCTCTTGTTTATCTACCAAAAAAAAAAAAAAAAAGAGAAAAAAAGAAAACCACATTAATAAACTTTATGAGAAAATGTTAAACAAAAAATGATATCATAAATAAGTAAAGCTAAAAATTTTCTTTTACAACACATACCGTAAAAAAATGTTGCCAAATTTCTTCTGTAGCATTCACTTGGTTGGTATTTGGATCCCATGTAACACCCGTATGCCCTAAAAGGTCAGAGAATAAGCGATGCACATTACGTAAACAGTTCCACTTACCCTTCAATCTCTCTATCCCGAAATCAGATTTTGTGACAACAATCATCTCTTGATTGATCTTGCCCCAATCGTCTTTGGTGAATGTAGAACAATGCAACTTCCCTACTTTCGCATTATCGTAAAGTATTCTGATAAAAACGTGTTTATTTTGATCGGACCATGACATTGCTTCCATATTCTTACCTCTATGACCACCAATGTTCTCTAATGAAGATAATGAATAAATATTAACCACTTAACCAAAATATAACCACAAATTCCATATTTCTGAAAAAAAATGTTCCTTTCATTGAAATTATATGCATAAGAACATAACCAAAAATACCATAACACACTTACGAAAAATATGAATAACAAGACAGGAGGAAAAGAAGAATGGAACAATTACCTCATTAAGTGAATTTGTCCAAACATTACTTAAATTTGAAATCTTTCAATTTTGAATTACCTTGGTATCAAAGATAGAAAATTTAGGATAGGAATCCCTATACATAAATCATGTGAATCAGTTAGTTGACAACTTTAACAATTTAATTTGGAAAGTTCAACAATCTACCAAATGCAAAATCACATATGCGAATAAGTCCATAATCTGAAAAATAAAAATTCCCAGTATGCTTGCATAGTGTTTTCCACTATTGGGCACTAATCAAATATGCCAAACAAGCAATAAAAAGAAATAATAAATCCATTAAATGCAAATATACACAACTCATAATTCCAGGAGACAATAATCAATTTTACTTGAATTAACTTCAAAACACTTTGATCCTTTCCATTTTGAGAACAAAAACGGTTTTAAATCAATTTTACTGATCAAGTGATGTGATAAATCATCTATTTCAACACTAAGGCATTGACCCATCAAATTCTTGCTCCAAACAAAGTTCATTAAACAAGACTTACCAAGCAATTTACACCTATATGTGCAAGTAACCAAATTTTGAGATGCTTTACTAACGCCTACACCTGAACAAGACGCATCAGCAACTTGAACTCCATTTTCACCAAAACAAGATGGGAAGTCCCTCATTTTTCCATATAATCCAAGATCTTGTAAAAAGTCTGATCTTTACATGCCCTTTCGAACGCTTAATGAGTCAAGCCTCGACAAATGGAAAAAGACAGGTGAAAAACATACCAGATATGAATTATCAGAGGTGAAATCAAGAACTCATGTCCACAAATGTTAAATTATCCCTTCAAATGGCGGAACTTATGAAGTTTTTGGAGGTAATGAAGAAGTTGGCATTGATTTTAAAGTACCAGTAATCCAAAAAATTGAAGGAAATAGGAGAAATGAAATTCTAGCTGGGGATAAATATATTTTTAAAGTTTCGTGGGAAATGTAGAAAAGCAGAGGACTGGAATCATTTTATCAGCTATCTTTGTCTTTTTTACTAACTGGAAACCATATCCAGAGTTTGAAACTACTTTTTCTTGTAGATAATAAAATGCTTATTAAATTTAATTTTGGGATGACATTACCTGAAGCATCACAATTCACACCGCACACTGAACCGGATCCCAATCACACTTCTCCCTTCTTCGCAACATAAATTCAACAGAGAACAAAACTTTTCCTACAACCCAAGTAGCATACACACAGGCTTGAAACAAGCACAATCAAACTCAATCAATTTATGGGAGGGCAGAATTTATGCACAAATTTGAGAAATCGTCTTAGGAGTTATTGAGATAAATTTGTAATTTGTACAGGGTCATTTTTGTCTTTTTATACTTTTTAGTTACTGCAATGTCTATAAATACCCAATGTATCACGCCATTTTCATTGACTGAGAATACAGAATTTTTCCCGCCATTTTTACTATCTTCTTCAGCTCTCCTGTTGCAAAATTCTCATGGTATCAGAGCAGTAAAGTTTCTTTTGGCGATGGCAAGAGAGTTTAATCAACAAGTAGAGGTTCAACATCAGCCAGCTCACGCTGATCCGGCAATCGATCCTTCCGTTGCAGATACGAGTGTTGGAGACGCAAATACTACTGTTAATCGATCGATAAATGATCCTAACAGTCCTTATTATCTCCACTATGGCGACAATACAGGTATGCAGCTCATATCTATCATGTTGTCTAAGGATAATTACACCACATGGAGTCGTGCAGTTATCATAGCTCTCAGTGTCAAAAATAAGGAAGGTTTTATTGATGGATCCATTACTAAACCTGCTGAGAATGATCTGATTTATGGTGCTTGGAGGTGATGCAATCATGTAGTTTCTTCCTGGATCATAAATTCCATTCCAAAGGAACTTTATCCAAGTGTAATGCATAAGGATTCAGCTCGGCAGATTTGGATTGAACTAAAAGATCGCTACAGCCAAGGAAATGGATCTCAAATTTATGAGATAAAGAAGCAAATTGCTTCAATTTCTCAGGACAATAACTCCATCAATTCTTACTTCAATCGGTTTAAAGGCCTATGGGAAGAATTGGACAATTATAGGCCGGAGGTAAGTAGTGCAGACTACAAAACTAAAGATCAAGTTATGCAATTCCTAATGGGTCTAGATGATCGATTTTCCAGTGTGAGAAGCCAAATTTTATTAATGGATCCACTACCTTCACTGAACAAGGTGTTTGCCTTGGTCTTACAAGATGAAAGGCAGAAAGGAATTGTTGCTAAGAAACAACAGAATTTTGATGTAGCAGCTTTTGCCAACAAGGTTGTGTCTAGTCCATATGGAAATCAGAGACACAATGTATCCAATCAAACTCAAAGGAAAGGAATGCCTATATGTACTTATTGTGGAATGTTAGGCCATCTCAGAGGGAAATGTTACAAATTGATTGGATATCCTCCTGGACATAGGTTTGCCAAAGGGAAATCTTCAGTTGCTAATGCTGTAGGTCAGGCTTCCCAGGCAAATAATTCAGAGCTGATCAATTCTTTGTCCAACCTCACTATCACACCAAGCCAACGCCAGCACATTATGACCGTGCTTGCTCCACAGCTGCAAGGTCAACAACCTCAGGAGGTTATGTCTTCTTCTACACATGCACCTGATGGCTTTGCATTTTCAGGTAATCGAGCATGCTATCTAAATCCAGGTAAATGGATCATTGATACCGGGGCTTTAGAACATATGGTGTGTTCCATTAATCAATTGACTGCTGTGACTAGTAAAACTAAAGGTTCCGTAAGATTACCAAATGGGGATATTGCACAAGTTACAGACATTGGTATTGTGAAGCTATCTGATACATTAACCTTAACTGATGTATTAGTTGTGCCAAGCTTCAACTTCAATCTGATTTCCGCCAGCAATCTTGTTATCAAACATAGATGTTTGTTGTTATTCTTACATCACTTTTGCTTCATTCAGGATCTTTTCACCTGGAAGACGATTGGGGTAGGGAAACTTGAAGATGGTTTATATCATTTCCAAGGTTCTGATAATCAACTCAATGGGCAACTTTCTTCCACTTCTCAAAGTGTTCCAACAAAGTCTATCCTTCCTGTTCTCAACAATGTAGCTTCCTTCAATGATGTACAAGTTCCTACTCTACATCTTGATTGTAATAATTATGATCCTGCTGTATGTAATTTTCCATGTAAAAAGGATATTCATACTGACATTGATATATGGCATTGTCGAATGGGACATATTCCTACTTCCAAACTATCACTTTTGCATAAAATTGTTCCTACAATTACTTTTGATCAACATTTGCATTACACCATTTGTCCTATAGCAAAACAACATAGGCTACCTTTTCCTAAAAGTGACACCAGAAGTTCGAACATATTTGATCTCATACATTGTGACATCTGGGGACCACATTCTATTCCCGCCTTAGATGGTTCGAAATATTTCTTGACCATTGTTGATGATTATAGCCGGATGACATGGACATATCTTATGAAAGAAAAATCTCAAATTAGGTCCATCATCCAATCATTTTATAATTTGATCCAAACACATTTCCACTGCAACCTAAAAGTCTTAAGGTCAGACAATGGATCTGAGTCTCACATGCATGATTTCTACCTTTCCAAGGGAATGTTGCATCAGTTAAGCTGCGTTGAAACACCCCAACAAAATGGGGTTGTCGAACGCAAACACCAACATTTACTTAATGTAGCTCGTGCCATAAAATTCCAAGCCAATTTACCTGACCAGTTCTGGGGAGACTGCATATTAACTGCCACACACCTTATCAATCGAACTCCCACTACTATTCTTGGAAACAAGTCTCCCTTTGAAATGTTATACCAAGAAAAACCATCTTACAGTCATCTAAGGGTCTTTTGATGCCTTTGCTATACACCCACCCTAAAAAGGAATAGAACAAAATTTGATCCACGAGCCAAG